GAGCTAGGCTGCCAATTATTAGGCATGATGTTGTGAATGGGAGTGGTTTTGTTAGATTGCCTATTTTTCGGATATCTTGTTCGTCATTAAGGCTATGGATAATAGATCCTGAACATATGAATAATATTGCTTTGAAGAATGCATGAGTGCAGATATGTAGAAAGGCTAGGTGAGGTTGGTTAATTCCTAGTGTTACTATTATTAGTCCTAGTTGACTTGATGTGGAGAATGCTACAATTTTTTTAATATCATTTTGTGTTAGTGCGCAGATAGCTGTAAATAGTGTTGTGATTGATCCTAGACATAATATTATAGTTAGAATGAAGTTGTTATTTGATGTAATTGGGTGAAATCGCACTATAAGGAAAATACCTGCTACTACTATAGTGCTAGAATGAAGTAGAGCTGATACTGGAGTAGGGCCTTCTATAGCTGAAGGTAATCAGGGGTGGAGTCCGAATTGTGCTGATTTTCCTGTAGCTGCAATTAGTAATCCTATGAGGGGAATTATGTTTGTTGAGTTATTTGTTATGAAGATTTGTTGAAGTTCTCATGAGTTTGAGTGTAGGCAGAATCATATTATAGCTAGAATAAATCCAATGTCTCCAATGCGATTGTATAGAATAGCTTGTAAGGCTGCGGTGTTTGCGTCAGTTCGGCCATATCATCATCCGATTAAGAGAAAAGATATAATTCCTACTCCTTCTCATCCGATGAATAGTTGGAATAAATTATTAGCTGAGGTTAGAATAACTATGGTGATAAGGAAGAGGAGTAAATATTTAATGAAACGGTTTAGGTGTGGATCTGAATGTATATATCATGATGAAAATTCTATAATTGATCATGTAACGAATAGGGCTACTGATATAAAGATAATGCAGAAGAAATCGAGTTTTAGACTAATTGATAGATTTATAGTGTTAATGGTAATTCAATGTCAGTTGGTAATTATTAGTTCGGTGTTGGATGAGAAGAATATGGTTAGTGGTACTAGGCTTAATAGGAAAGCGTATTTGATTGATAGAGTTACGTAGTTAGGGAAGTTAATTGATTTGGTGTAGTTAGTTAGTGATATTATAATAGGAATAATAAGTATGAGAAGTATTATTAAGATGGATCCTTATACAGGATCCTTATTGGATGTCCCAGCACTCTTCAGCCACAGGACGTCCAAGCTCTTTCTGTCTGGCTAGGCCTTGCTCAGTCTCTGTGATTAACTGAGTCTCACCATGGATGGGAAGGATAGGCCAGGGCCTTCTTAGACACACTCTTCCCTGAGACCAGTGGGGTACCATCCTAAACTTGTCCAGGCAATGGGTCTAAGTTGCAGAACTGGTGGGGCCCTTCACTGGTCAGAAAGACCTTTGGAACTCTGTAAGAAACACTCTACAGCCTTAGAAGGGTTGTAGACTGTTCCACCCTCTTCTACCCCATCAGGGGACAGGGGCTGCAAAGTATGTACCCTTAGTGGGCAGAGCCCAAGTGACGCCAGGGGCTCAACAGAACTGTCTGTGGCAAGTGACTCACTACTCACAAGAAGGTCCCAGGACTGGTGCCTGCTTCCACAGCTACCAGCTTACAAAGGAATGGGGTCTCTAGGTCAGGCCCTGAGGGACTATACAGCTCCTATATATAGCACAGCTGGCCAAGTCTTCTCTGTCTATCTCATCCCTAACTGATGCCAAGTAGTGAGATGCACATTGCTGGCTTAGGAGATCCTCCTGGGTCTAGCCTTATGGTTCTGTGGCATGTTTTGAGTAAAGCCCAAACTATGGCGTCAGATCGGCTCTCACCATTCAGAAAGCCCCTTGTATATCCCCAGGACAGCTGCCACGTTCTGCTCCTCTCCAAAGGTTCCTTATCTCACAGGTGAACATGGACTCATGGAGACTGGAGGAGAGAGGGGCAGGGCATTGGATCACAGGATTCCTGGGAGAAGAGTATGTCCCAGTTTTAGCTTTAAAAAAAAGTACTTATTTTATGTGTATATGTTCTCCCTATATGTAGGTCTCTGCATGATGTATGTGCCTGGTGCCTGTGGAGGTCAGAAGAAGGCATCAAATCCTTTGGGACTGGAGTTACAAATGGTTGTGAGACATGTGGGTTCTAGGAATTGAACCTGGATCCTATAGAAGAACAGTCAGTACTCTTAACTGTTAAGCCATCTTTCTAGCCCACAGCTTTAGTTTTTTATGTCTCCATGAAGCCAAGCACCATGAGATTATAGGAGTAGTTACAGGGTGGGGGCTATTCTAGGATCACAAGTGTTGGGAGCTCAAAGGTCCTTGTGCACACAAATCACCAGGGAAACCAGGAATGTTAAGTATGCAGGATTGTCTTTTCAATGGAAAATATGTAAAACCTCTTCTTCATCCAGAAAGCTTGGAACTGGAAGTGGTTAATAGCCTGATGATCTTCAATATCTGTTGGGCTAGGCCATATCAATCTTCTATAACCAGGACCAGAGGTGGCTAGTAATCTAAATGACCATTATATTACCTGTACAGCCATGGGCTTCCCCAAGCTCCCACAATTGGGACCAGAGGTGGCTAATAGCCTAAATGTCCTCTTTGCTATCTGTATGACTGAAACCAGGACAGATCCTTCCTTAGGTCCTTAAGCTAGCACAGGTAGCCTATCTCTAGAACCCCATCTTCTTTGAAGAAATGACATGTACCCCGAGTTGAGTTTTGATGTAATTATGCTTCCTTGTGCACTAGGAGTTGTATTGTATTCCCAAAAATTATGCTGTGTTTAAATTTGTTGGCAACAAACTGCCTGGCATCAGACTCCCTGAGGTTTGATCCAGGTTGATGAAGTCAATTTGAAGCAAGTTTTCATTCTTACCTCTTTGAGGATCACTGCTGGCCTTGACACCTGTAGGGACCCCCCTACACACACACACACACACACACACACACACACACACACACACACACACACGCAAGGAATCCCATCCAAGTGCCACAGGCAGTTGAAAGTCCACAGTGTAGTTGCTAAAATCAATGAGGCCTAGTGTTGTGACCTAGGAGGGTCACCCCTGGGTCACATTCCCCCTAAAACATCTCATCTGGAGGAAGCTGCCATGCTTCCACTATAATATGGCACCCAACGTGTGAGACTACGCGGTTTACAGGTCCTACAGGTGTGTGAAACTCTGAGTTGTGTGTGGCTAGAGGCAAGTGTGAGGTCCTGAGCCTTACTTTCATGAAGGGGTGGCCAGCTCCAGGGGCTTCTTGCAGTCTGATGTTCCACCTGCCCTGGCCATTTTGTTTACCTAGGTGGGGTCTGTGCCGAGGCTAAGCATGAGGGCCTGAACTGTTTGCTGGGAGAAGCATGAGGAGCTTTTAAATGAACATAGCTTCTCAACTTGCTTTGACCAAAATAACTTTAGATTTTGTCTCATAAGCTTTTCCTTTAAATTCTGTCTTCTAGAATGAAGGATAATAGGAACTGTTTTTTTCTCGATGGTGAAGGAAGTTACAAATATGGGAAAGGAGTCTGGAATAACTCAGAGGTTCTGCATTGAATTGGAGGTGTCACTATGAATCCATGAAGATCTGGGGGAAGGCTTTTTTGTGTGTGCATGTGTTTGTGTGTGTAGCCCAGAGGTAGGAGTTGAGTATCTTCCTCAATTGCTCTCTACATACATACACACATACACACACACACATACACACATACATACATACATACATGCATACATACATACATGCATACATACATACTTACATGCATGCATGCATATATACAATTAATTTTCAAGATAAACTCTCTCACTGAACAGGGAGCTCATCAATTAGGCTAGACTGACTGGCCAGCAAGTTTCAGAGATCCTCTTGTCTCTGTCTCAAACACTGCTGAGCCCATTTTTTTTTTCAGGATTAGGGGATCCAAGTTAGGATCTCGTGCTTGTGTGGCAGTCATTTTAATGAACTGAGCTGTCTCCCCAGGCCCCATGGAGATTTTTACGTGTGTGTGTGCCTGTGTATGCACAGAAGCAAGGAGACACAGGGTGTGTGTGTCTCCACTGAGCCCCTGGAAGCAAGAGACCCAATGCCCAGATCTGCCACCATCTAGCTCTTTGAGAACCCCAATGTCACCAATGTAGCGCCAGCTCTTATCTAAGTCTTTGGGTTCCACTTTGGAGTAGAGGGTCTCCTCCATAATCTCCGGCCCTGGTGTGGGGTCATACCACTCCAGGCTAATAACCCTTTATGCTTCATGCAGATAGCACTGGACCTTCTGCTTGGAGAGCTTCTCTGGCCCCTGAGCAACCCAAGCTCTGTCATGACCCTCATCTCCCCAGTGACCACCCCCCATCTGAGCTCACCTCTCGTTGGGTGAGGTGTCAAAGACCAAGACAGAAGTGATCAGAAAATATGTACTAGAGCGAGTGACAGAGTCAGAGTCACGTAGAATCAAGGGCTAGTTGTGGTAGGGAGAGAAAGGGACAAGGGACCCAGGACAGCTTCACTGGGACCTTTAGACAATCCACCTCCTATCTAGCTCCTAAATGGAAATGGCAATGCTAGGGGAGGGATCGAGGGAGCCCTCCAACTCCCAGAAGGCCAATCACACAGTCCCTGCGAGGTCTCACCCCCAGCTCAGGTCAGTATTCATTCCCTTCTTACGTCATTTCTGCTGTGAGTGACTTATCTAGGGGAAGAACTCATTGTGAGTGGTTCCAAAACCCAGGAGCCCCTCCCAGAGGAGGACAGTCCTGTTTCATGGAGAGGCTCCAGAACCAGACCCAGCACCAGGTAGATGATAGGTAGGTGCAGCAGAAGGTAGGTAGATCTTCGGGCAGTCAGGGGCCACCCTAATTCCCCTGAGTGGCTTATTCCATTGTGACCAGTGCCCTTAGGCCAGGCTGGAGTTGGGGAAGGGCAAGGCCTATTCTTCTTCCTCAGAAGCAGGCACCCTCAGGTGTCCTCCTAGGTTTGGGGACTAATGAAAATGCTCACACAAGCTGCAACCAAAAGAGAAACCCAGACTCAGGTGGATGTGAATCTTTACTTACAGAAAAGCAGCAGAGCCAGAGGCCCACCAGGGACAGGGGCTTCAGCGGGGTGCTGTGGGGCAGGAGGACAATCACTGGGGGGGGGGGAAGCATCAGGAGGTGCACAGGTTTTCAAGTAGCTTGTGGGGGACGCTGTGAAGACAGAAGGGTCAGAGTGAAAGGGACAGAGGACTGGTGTGCTGGACAGGAAAGACAAGCCCTGTGCACAGACCTGGAGGTAGCCTCGAGAAAGGGTGCACATCTGGGTGGGCGTCTGGGTCTGGTAGGATGTAGTGAGGGATATAGGGAAATGGGGGAGGGGTGCGGGGCGGAGAAGCGCGGGGAAGGGCGTGAGAGATGGGTAGGGTAGGGCAGGGTAGGGCAGAGCAAGCTTGTGACCCTGCGAGCTAGCTAGCCCCTGTTTAGAAGGGACACACTTACCCCAGTCACTGGCGGAGGGGAAGGGGGCAGGGGAACGGGACGACAGTCACTGGGGTGCCTGGGACGGCATGCCCTCTGTCTTCGGTGGGTCTCCTTCCTCTCTCATGGCCGAAGGCTTTCCTGATGGCTCTATGCTGGATGGCTCCGTGCCCGCTGCCGCTGCCGCTGCAGTGGACACAACCACCGCCGCTGGGGTGGGGCCCTTATGCTCTTCCTTGGGGAGCCGGTAGCTGTTCCCCCAGATGGCGGGCATCTCGGTGACATGCTTGCGGTTCACAGGGTAGGCCCCGAGGGCTGCCAGGATGTTGCGGTGGCGATCTTGGTTATCGGTGTCCATCTCCGTGTAGTACATCTCCAGGGTCAGCGGGGTGCAGATCTTGTGCTGTAGCAGAGGCATGTTTCGGGCCGGCAGGGGGATGGGGAATCATAGTGAAAGAAGAGGAGGAGGAAGGGTCATAATTAAAAACCCACAAAGGTGGCTTTGGCTTCCGGTCAGAGGGTCAGAGCCTGAGGCTCCTTGGAGAAGGGGGTGGTGTGGTGTGGGGCCTCCACCGGCGAGGAGTCTTTTAGAACTATGCTGTGTGGGAAAGGTGGATAGCACAGACTGGTGTGGGGAACCATGCTTGTAATCCCGGCACTGGAAAGGTTGAGGCAGGAGGATTAATGGGAGCTGGAGGCTGGTATGGGCTACATAGTGAATTCCAGAACAGCCAAAGCTAAAAATGTCTCCCCTCCCCGGAAAAAAAAACCAGCAGCCGGACTTCAGTGCCTCTGTGAACTCCATCTCAGAGACCAGAGGATTAAGGGAAAAAAAGGAGGAGATATTACTTGTAAAATAGGAAACACTTTAAAAAATATTGAAATTTATAACTGTCATTAATAGAGTTGAGATTTTTAAAGTAGAAGGAAATATTTACTAAGTATGCAGAAAGCACTGATGTCCATAATACATTTAAAAGTCTCTCACATGGGCCAGTGGTAGTAATACATGCTTTAATCCCTTGGGAGGCAAAGACACTATCTCTGTGAGTTCCAGGCCAGCCAGGGCTACACGTGAGACCCTATTTCAGGGGGAAAAAAAAATCAAAGAAACAAACCTCTTAAAGTCTAAGGAAAAGACAAAAGGGCTCAGTAAAGAAACCCGCTAAGTGCAGGTAGGGCTCCTGCAGTTCTGCTGGCACCTCCTACTTCAGTTTAGATGAAAACAAAAACAAAAATAACAAAAAAATAAACAAAAACCCCTCCTCTCTCTGTTTTCAAATTTTATTTTGTGTGTCTGTAACTGTGCTTGAGTTGGCTGGAGGAGGTCTCCCTGAGACAGGGTCTCTCACAGAACCTGGAACAAGCCTTTGCAAGTGTCTTGCTCTGTCACCTCACAGTGCTGGGGTTACAGGCAGTCACATCTGGCCTTTTACATGGGTTCTGGGGATTTGAACCCAGGTCCTCATGCTTATACAGCCCGTGCTTTTCCCTATGAGCCATTACTGTGGCCCTAAAACCACCTTTTTCTAGGAAAATTTCAAAAGATGGGATCTTGGTATGTTCTGGGAAGTAAGGGGATCAATCACACAGGGATAGTCTTGTCATTTAGAAGGAACCCCAGGGGTGTGAGAAGGGAAGCATCCTCCCTTGATGCTACCACAGAAAGCCCTCCACATCCTGGCATTGACTAGAGACCATAGGAGGACCATGGTGGTCTCTACTGTCCCTGCCCTGGTCTTTGGTCCCTGAGGCTTACCCGAAGCAGGAAGCCATCTGGGCAGGAGAACTGGTCATACCAAATGGCCTTGTACATGATCAGCACACAGCCCATGAGTGCCATGGCAAAGGCGATCATCCTTGCAGTGGGCACCTGGCAGAGAGAAAGGAGCAGAATTTAGTGCAGGTGAGCTACAGCGGGGCCAGCCTCCCTGAGGGAATGGCCCCTAAGTACTGGGGCTGGGCACAATGCCACTGCCCCTACATCTTGTCTCCTTCCTTGAGGTCAGCTCCAGAACCAAAGGTCCAGGAACTTTTCTTTGTAGGCCCAGCTTTGCTGGGATTATGGAAACATCCATGATCAGTTAAGTTGCACGCAGCCAATTGACCCAGAAGATGCTATTAGGAACTGGTTTGCACTGCCCATGTGGCCCGCAGAAGTTGGTTGTTGTGTGATATTTTGTTTGTGTTCTGACAAATAAAGCTTGCCTGGAGATCAGAGGGCGGAGCTCGACACTAGTTAACCATAGAGGCCAGGCAGTGGTGGCACACACCTTTAATCCCAGCACTTGGAAGGAGGAAGCAGGAAGATCAGGAATTCAATGCCACCCTGTGCTACATGAGATTGATCCAGTCTAAAAGAGAAACAGAGCCCAGAGGTGGTGGTGCACACCTTTAATCCCAGCACTAGGAAGTGGAGAAAGCAATATAAGGTGGGTGGAGACAGGATCTCGACCCTGATTTGGTCTGAGAATTCATAGAGGTAAGAAGTTTCTAGTGGCTGCTGCTGTTTCTCTGATCTTTCAGCTTTCATCCTCGATATCTGACTCTGGGTTTTTAATTATTAAGACTAATTAGGATCACACTTCAGTTAGTGGTCACCACAGCAGGAGTATTGGGAGAGGAAGCAGTGTGTGTGCGTGCATGCGTGCTAGCACGTGTGTGTGTGTGTGTGTGTGTGTGTGTGTGTGTGTGTGTGTAACATCTAGTGAGGCAGGTGCATTAGTACCACCCTGGGTGGATCCAAAGAGCAGCACTTTCATTGAAGAAACTACGGGAAAGGGCAGGTGTTGCTTCTGAAAATGGAAAAGCATTAGAAATAGTCAGCTAAAAGTGATTATTAAACCATTACTGTTGTGGTTAAAAGAAGACAAAGAGGAGACATTTGCCAGATAAAAGGTAAAGCTCATATCAGTTTCACAGAAAGCCTGCAAGGAGGTAGAAAATGATGGGCTGGGAAACAGGTACTTCCCATGGAAAGTGTCTCCCAGGAGCTCAGGCTGCTCAGAAGAAGGCTGGGAGGATGGACAGCTAGGTGCCAGCCATCACTAGAGGTGACATCTGGGTAGGATTGATCTCTCTTGTCCCTAGGAGATCCAAGTGGGACCCAACCAGGCAAGCAAGACCTGAATTGCTCATCTAGCCTCTCCCCTGCTCTAACTTCCCACAGTGAGGGGTAACATACTTACTCTGCGTCCTTCCTCTGTTTGGCAGGCCAGCCTTTGACCCTCCAAATCTGCAAACTTCTTTGGCTGGTCTGAGGAGGTAAGCTGATAGTCTGTCTGTGTTTTGATGACCACCTAAAGGAAGAGACAATGTGGCATTGCTGGACAGCCGGCAGGGACCCAGGAAAGCCCTGAATTGAGGGGTTGGGGAGTTCCTCACTCTACAGGCGCCTTCCATCCAGGGTGCTGGCTCTCCTACATGAACTTCCCTCTCTGCTGCTCCATAGTCTGGCTCCTCTCCTTCAGGAGGTCTGACCTGACTTCTCTGATGGCTTCCAGAGTCTTGTGCCTCCAACTACATGGGGCTCAGACATGGGCAATTCTAGGCTGTCTGTATTCTTGAGGGCAAAGGATAGATCTTCCCTCAGCATTCATTGTTACAGTAAATGCAGCTGAAGCCCACCCAGATCATTGAAGAGCTATCCTGGGATCCTGAAGGGTCAGGCTAGGCCAGCCTGTGCTACTTTTTGCTTCTCACGACTTCTGCTGAAGGTCACCTATCCCCGCCCCCGTTCAGTCACCTGCCTATTTTGTGCCCTAACCTAGAGCCCTGCCCAGAAAAGAAAGAATGGTGTCTTAGTTTGGGTTACTATTGCTGTGATGAAATACCATGACCAAAAACAAGAAGGGGAAGAAAGAGTTTATGTGGCTTACACTTCCACATCATTGTCTATCATTGAAGGAAGTCAGGACAGGAACTCAAATGTCTGGAATCCGGAGGCAGAAGCTGATGCAGAAGCCATGGAGGAGAGCTGCTTCCTAGCTTGTTCCCCATGGCTTGCTCCTCATACTTTCTTATAGAACCCAGGACTGCTAGCCCAGGGATGGCACCACCCACCATGGGCTTAGCCTGCCCCATCAGTCATTAAGAAAATGCTCTGTAGGCTTGCCTACAGCCGGATCTTATGAAGCATTTTCTCAATGGAGCTTTCCCCCTCTCAGATGACTATAACTGCTATCAAGTTGACATCAAACCAGCCCACACGAGTGGCAACTGCAACTTGCTGGTCCCTGTTAGATTACATCACAGTCTGAGTGCTTAAATTCTGAGGAATCCAGTGGTTAGTTTACCCTGTTTCAGATGAGGTAGGAGCTCTGGATATGAGAGAGCTAGCCATGAGGTCACACTTGTCAGTGGTTAGTTTGGATTTTTGCCCAGCTTGGCCTATTCTCAGGGCACTTTGGAGGAGGCAACATCTGCATAAACCTTACCCACACCTCTTTGTCCCTAGGCAGTCTGAGAAAGCCTCCCGCACTGACTCAGGCTACTCACCTGGTCAGAGAATGATGGCTGGAGCTGGCTGACATCCAGGGGACTGATAAGAGGGACACTGTCCATGGCAGCCCCATCCTGGCCTCCTGTCTCCTTGCCTGAATTCCCAGAGAAGCTGAAGCCCAGCTTCACCATGGTGGATGGTGGTCCTTGTCCCAGCCTAGAAACAGCGTTAGAGTCACCACTTATGAGTCATCCTATGGACAGCCACATAGATAGATCTGGAGTAAGGACCCAAAATGGTCCCAACACTCCTCATACAAAATCCAGGGATTTGCTCAAGGTTTTACATCCCTTCCTGACCTCCCAGCAGTGCAGAATGGTGCCTCTGGCCAGAGACTATCTCAAAATAGAACTGAGGCATCTTCCTCCAGCCAGCCTGCTCTGGCATGTGCTTTAAGGACACATATTCCACTGGGAGGAAAAGATTCAGGGAGCAGTTGAGAGAGCTGGACTGCCAGACTAAGCAGGAGGCCCAGGTTAATGTGAATTTGTTAACTGTTGATATTTTAAAACAGAACAAAACACAACAAAGAACATCTATCCCATGCAATATGGGATATGTCCATATTAATTCCCATTGGTTGTCTATGTGAAATTCAAAGGAAGGTATCAAAAGTATGCAGTCTGGTGGTGCAGGAAGACCAGGCCTTTGGTGAGCTGAGCTTGCATCCTGCCAGTCAGGTAGTGATTGCAGTCTGGAGGAGGGTGCAGGTCCCACTGACTCCGGGTAAGTGCAGAATAAACATGTTCAAGGCTGGAGAGATGGCTCAGCAGTTAAGAATGCTTGCTGCTCTTGCAGAGGACCTAGGCTGGGTTTCTAGCATCCATACAAAGTGAGGACATAGGCTGGGTGGTGGTGGCACATGCCTTTAATCCCAGCACTTGGGAGGCAGAGCCAGGCGGATCTCTATGAGTTCAAGGCCAGCCTGGTCTACAGAGTAAGATCCAGGACAGGCACCAAAACTACACCGAGAAACCCTGTCTTGAAAAACAAAACAAAACAAAACAAAAATGCCTTCACAACTTCCTGTAACTCTGGTTCCAGGGGATCTGCTGCCCTCTTCTGGCCTCCACATGTTTCTGAATGCATGTAGTATACATACACACAGACATACAAATGTAAACATAATAAATAAACAAATATTTTTTTTGTTTTGTTTTGGTTTGTTTTTTTTTGAGACAGGGTTTCTCTGTGTAGTTTTAGTGCCTGTCCTGGATCTCGCTCTGTAGAGCAGGCTGGTCTCGAACTCACAGAGATCCACTTGGCTCTGCCTCCCAAGTGCTGGGATTAAAGGCATGCGCCACCACTGTCCGGCAAATAAATATTTTTTAAAAAGGAGTGTACACTCTGATCTTGTGGCTGCTCTCTGTGGGGAAAGGATCTCTAAGCTGACAGATGGAAAGTGAAACATTCCATTATTAAAACCCTCTCGGAACTGTGTGTGGTGGTGCTTGCTTTTATTCCTGGCTCTTGGGAGGCAGAGGAAGGTAGATCTCTGAGTTCGAGGCCAGCCTGTTCTATACAGCAAGCTCCAGGCCAGCTAGTGATGCACAGTGAGACCTTGTCTCAAAAAATAAAATAAAATACTACAAAACAAAACAACCTCCCATCTTACATAGAACTCCAATCTCAGACAAAGTCATGCCAAAAAAGGTAACCATTTTAAAAAGGAAATGCTGCCAATGTGTTGCAAAATTTCCAGAGAAAGAACAAAGGAGCCCTCATCAGCTCCTGAGGTAACCCCTCCTGGCCCCTTCACAGCTCTCAAGCACATTGGGAGGGAGGAAATCACAGGTCAGCCCCACCCACAAACGGTGGAGACTTTAAGTGAAACCTAAGCAAGCTGAGTTCAGCAAAAAAAAAATAAGTTGTGTGTAAGAACCAGGGAGGCTCTATAGCAGGGGGGACCCTAGGATGACTGTGGCTTATAATAAGTTTTGGTTTTACTCAATTACTGGGCAAGCCTCCATGAAACATTTCACAATTAGGATAAGAATTTATACTGTATCAAGCTGATAATAGAAAAATAAATAAAAAGGTGAAAAACAAAACAAAGCAAAACGTTGTGTGTATTCTGGTGCGAAATTTTGAAGACAATTCCATGGGGCTGGGAGATGGCTTAGTCGGTAAAGCACTTGCTATGCAAGCACGAGGACCTTGTTCCGACCCCCGGCACCCACAGAGAAGCTGGGCCAGTGGCTTGCGTCTGTAACCACAGGGCTGGGAGGAAATGGGCAGAGACATGTGGATTTGGTGGCCCAACACAGCCAGCTTGCCAGCATAGCTGAAACGGAGAGCTTGAAGTTCAGTGAGAGACACTGTCTCAAAAAATAAGGTGCAGAGTCATAGGGGAAAACACCCAAAGTGACCTACATACACACGGGTGAGTGTACTTGAACACACAGGCACATATCACACACACACACACACACACTGGAGCTGGAGAGATGGTTCAGTAGTGAAGAGCACTTGTTGCTCTTGCAGAAGACCTGGGTTCAGTTCCCAGCACCAACGTGGTGGCTCAAAATAGTTTATAAAACCAGTTCCGGAGAGCTGACACCCTCTTCTGACCCCTACAGGCACCAGACACATAAGTGGTGCACATACATACATGTAGGCAAAACGTTTACTCTGACACACAAAATAAGATAAATCTAAATTAAACAAAATAAGAAGGGAGCCGGGCGGTGGTGGCGCACGCCTTTAATCCCAGCACTCGGGAGGCAGAGCCAGGCGGATCTCTGTGAGTTCGAGGCCAGCCTGGTCTCCAAAGCGAGTTCCAGGAAAGGCGCAAAGCTACACAGAGAAACCCTGTCTCGAAAAACCAAAAAAAAAAAAAAAAAAAAAAAAAACAAAATAAGAAGGGATTGGAGAGATGGCTTAGCCGTTGAAAGCACTGGCTGCTTTTACAGAGGTCCTGGGTTCAGTTCCTAGCATCCACATAGTGACTCACAACCATCCATAATTCCAGTTTGAGAGGATCTGATGCCCTCTTCTGACCTCCACAAGCATGAGACACCCACATGGTACTCAGACATACATTCAGGTAAAATACCTATACAAATAAAAGAAAAAATTTTAAAAATAAGAAAAGCTGGTTGTGGTGGCATATGCCTTTAATTCTAGCACCTGGGAGGCAGAGTTCCAGGACAGCCAGGGCTACAAAGAGAAATCCTATTTCAAAAAACAAAACAAAACAAAAACCCAAACCAAACCAACCAACCAACAAACAAAAAACAACAAAAACCCAAAAAATCAACCCCTCCAAAACCAAATAAATAAGTAAATATAAAAAATAAAGTCAGACAGCGGTGGTTCATGCCTTTAATCCCAGCATTTGGGAGGCAGAGGCTGGAAGATCTCTTTGAGTTTGAGGCCAGTCTGGTCTACATATTGAGTTCCAGGACAGTCAAGGCTACACAGAGAAACCCTGTCTTGATATTCCCCAATCCCCCCATGTCCCCCTCCCCCAGAAAAAAAAGAAAAGAAAGAAAAAAAAAAAGAAAAGCTATCTCTTCATTAACAGCCTAAAGGAGATAATCATCTGGGTGGTTTTATCAGGAGTCAAAAAGATATTTGGTTTGACTTGAAGTTCATTCACAAATTAAAAAAATTTGTTTGCACAATGAGGGCAGAGGGAGAATGTTCTGAAACTCCATGAAGGTTAGACACACAAAAAACCCAACAGATTAATGAACATAAGTTTTGTTATTATTTTTTTTTTTTATTTTGTCTTTTGAAACAGAGTCTCATATAGTCCAGGCTGACTTTGAATTTCTAATCCTCCTTCCTCAGATTCCTGAGTCCTGGATTACAGCTGTGCATCATCACATATGGCTTGAATTTGGGCCTTCTGTTTTGGAGACCATGGAGATGTAGATGACCTGGGCTGATGTGGTGATTTGCATAAGAATGGCCTGCATAGGCTCATATAGTTGAATTCTTAGTCACTAGGGAGTGTCACTATTTAAAAGGATTAGAAGGATTAGGGGCTGTGACCTTGGTGGAGGAAGTGTGTCACTGGGAGTGAGCTTTGAGGTTTCAAAAGCCCAAGCCAGGCCCTGTGTCTCTCTCTCTGCCTGTGAATCAGGATGTAGCTCTCAGCTGCTTCTTCACTACCATGCCTGCCATTCCTGCTGCCATGCTCCTCTTCATGATGATAATAGACTAAACCTCCAAAACTGTAAGCAAGCCTTCAATTGAATGCTTTCTTTTGTAAGAGTTGCCTTGGTCATGGTGTCTCTTCACAGTAATAGAACAGTGACTAACACAGCTGATGAAGTCCCAGAAACTGTGGTCCTGCGTGCTCAGCCAGCACAGTTTCACCAGGCGAAGGAACCAGGCCAGAGGTCCAGAGGGCAGTGCAGAGTATTCATGGGTGAAATAGCTTTTGTGTTTAAATGCAAAGACAAATCCTCCACATAAAAAATGAAAGAGTCCAGGGTCAGTGAGATGGCTGAGTGGGTAAGAGCACTTGCTGCCAAGTCGGAAAACCTGAGTTCAATCCCCAGGACTCTCCTGGTAGAAGGAGAAAACTGCCTCATGCAGTTGTGCTCTGACTTCCACATGTGTGCTATGCTCACTCACACACAATAAATAAATGCAATAAAAAATTTGAAGGGCTCAGTGGTTAAGAGTACTGGCTATTCTTCCAGAGGACCTCTGTTTAGTTCCTAGCACCCACAAAGCAGCTCACAGCTGTCTCTAACACCAGTTCTAGGGGATCCAATGGTCTCTTCTGAACTCCAAGGGTACCAGAAATACATGTGGTGCACACACAAACATACATGTAAAACACTCATACACACAAAAATTTTAAAATGACAAAGTCCAGTTAAACTTAAGTTCTTAGAAAGCAGATATATTTCTATGTCAGTGGCAAAAATATTTTTGAGAAAAAAGTGTGTTAAAAATTTTTTATTATTTTTAATTATATGTGTCTATGTGCAAATTTATTTTATTATGTTTTGCCTGAGTGTATGTCTGTGTCCACTTGCAGAGGTCAAAAGAAGGCGACACATTCCCCCCGAACTGGAGTTTGTGTGTATCTATCTATTCATGCAGTTGTCCTCAGAAGCTAAAGGTATCAGATTCTCTGGAACTGAAGTTACAGGAAGCTGGGAGCTGCCTGATGTGGGTGCTTAGAATGCAACTTAGGTCCTCTCTGCTCTCAACCACTGAACTATCTCACTAGATCCAGTTTTTTTTTTTTTTAAATGAAGTTGGGTCTCACTATACAGTCCTCTATAGTTCAAGGCTGATCTTGAACTCAAGAGCATCTTGCCTCAGCCTCCCCATGGTAAGCCAGCTAAGATTCTATTTAAATGGTTTCAAAGCCCAGGACAGAGATTATGGGCAAGTGCTCCACATAGAAAGCCATGAAATATTGACTGGGGGCCAAGGAACATCGGAATCTTCCATCAGATAGGGAAGACTCTCTAGGGCAGACTTTGGAGGTCTTTATGCTTAAACATCTCTGACTGTATTTGTAGAATCAACAACTCCCAATCAAAATTTCCAACAAATTTGTTTATGAATTGCTAATAATAAAGCTGATTGGCCAACAGCAGGGCAGAAAGAGATTGGGCAGGGCAGTCTGACACAGGGAGAATGCTGGGAGAGAAAGGCCGAGTCAGGGCAGTCAAGAGAGATGCAAGCCAGCGCCCAGAAAGCAAGATATGCTAGAGGACAGGTAAAACCACGAGCCACATGGCCATACATAGATTAATAGAAATGGGTTAATTTAAATGTAAGAGTTAGCTAGTAACAAGCCTGAGCTATCTATCAGCTGAGCATTTATAGTTCATATTCAGTCTTTGAGTTGGTTATTTGGGATCGGGCGTTAGGACAGGAAATCCCACTTACAATGAACTTGAAACATCAAAATTTTATGTATAAGGTAGAAAGACAGGAACACACAGATGTCTTGACAAAAGAAATCTATCTGCTTGGTGCTTGCCTTGAACACAGCAATGTACATTAGTGCTGCTGATGCCTTGTGGAGAGAAACACATTTGACACATTCTGTATATTAACCTCAGTTAATAGCAGAGAGGCTGCTTGCGTCTTAAAGTCCACTTGGAGTGAAGCAGATTTCATCACTACATGCATATTTGGACACACATAATGAGCACACATGTGTGTACATACAATGCACACATGAACACAAGAATTTACTCTGGGTGCGTGAATATGGAAAACTGAGACAACAAAGCACTTCCGAGACAATGCAGGAGAATGTTTCCAATCTCAGGAAGAGAGAGATTTCACCAGCAACATCCAGATTTCACCGGATTTCCTTTCATACGAGGAAATCTCAATAAAATTATCTTCCATGTTGAAATTAAAAACCCCTGCCTATCAAGACAAGACCTTTAAAGAGGAGAAACAGAAACCTTAACTGGGCAATATTTACAATGCACAAGTGACAACAGGATGTTGTGGGTCAACTGATGTCCCCACAAAGAGGACACCAAGTTTTAACTCTTACTATCTGTGAAAGAGACTTTATTTGAAACAGTCCTTAGAGTTGTAATGGAGTTAAGATGAAGTCTTATTAGAACTGGTAGGGGCGGGCGGGTTATTCCACTGTGGGCAGATGGAGGCAGGCTGTAGTGACGCAGATGCTATCCAAAGACTGCTCAGGACAGCAGAGACTGGAAGGAGCAAAGGAAGACCCTCTGGAAGCTTCAGCAGAAGCAGGGCTCTGCTGAAATCTGCTTTTGGACTTCTTGCCTCCAGGATGGTAAAAGTTGTAGTTATTTTGGACAGCCACCCTCGGAAGGCCAGCTGCCCTCCAGACCTGCAGATAACCACTGCTGCTCCCTCTCTACTGGCGGGGCCACATAGATGTGACAGCCCCGAGGAACACAGAGGAGATGGTGTTTCAGAGCTGTCCAGTGTTAGGGACAGCTGGGTGCAGAACTTCCCAGGGCAAGAAAGTAGAGAAGGAAGGCTGGGTAGGGGATGAGGGAGGTATGGCTACGAGGAGGAGGGGAAAAAATAGCATCTACACTCTCTCCCCCATCTCAGGCGGGCCCTCGAAGACACTGGTCCCTCTGATGTGTGTTACACCTGTGACCTTCCGCCTGGCCCAGCCTTTACAGAGATCAGGCAGTTGTCAACAAAGAACCTCTTTAAGAGGTGGATCCAGTCCTAAGGAGGGAGCTGGCTCTATCTACGTTGGCCCTGGGTACGTGGGAAATCGGATGGCTTAGGGGCAACCCGATGGGCATTGTGATAGAGATGGACCGGAAATTATTATAAAGAACATAAACGGCTGGCCAGGTGATACACGGAGGCAAAAGAGCCAGGAAAATGGAAACCGACAGAAGATGGCGTCCTCCCCACGCATTCCAGTCTCTACTACCATCAGCAAGAGACCCCTCCCTCCCTTCCTTCAAAATCCGCCTTCGGTTGCCACGGTGACGCAGCCGAGGGCTAGTTTACGTCACCGTGGGTTCCCATGGCAACGGAGGCAGTCCCCCCCCCCCCAGCACCATGTCAAGTTTCTAGTCCTCCATAGCTAGGCAGAACATCGCAAACCAAGGGCTCTGTGTAGAAAACTCTCCCCTCCTCTCAGCACACCAAAAGAGTCCATTCTGGATCTTGGGGACACCCGCTGGGAGATGGCAGGGGTCATAAAGCTTTAGAATCAGGAAGGCGTCCCAACACCACCCGCGGGTCCTTCCTCCATCCTACTCTGTCATTTTGTCTCCTAAGGATTTGCTGCTCATTCGCAGTGCTCTCTGGGGGGCGGGGCGGGGCATCTCTGGTCACGATCTAGGGGTTGCGCACAGACAGGATGTTGACGGACAAACGATGAGGGATGCGGACTCTTATTTGAAAGCCCATAAAAGCTGGGCTAGAGGTCACAGACTCACTTTCACACGCACTCTTTCATGCTGCGTCACACGGAAGGGCATGTTGGTGCAGACTCCTGCCCTCGTCCTGCTCCCCAACCAACCCCACGCCACAGCCCTGCCGCAGCGCCCACCCTGGTCTGCTTGCATCCCAGTCCTGTAGGTAGTGGTTTGCCTCTAGTTTTAAGGGCTGTTGTTCTGCGGGGGCCCAAGCAAAGGGGGACAGAGAGGAGGTACACGGTTACTCGCAGTTCCCCACACTCACCAGCCACCTGTGGCCCAGCATCCGGAGCCAGCCGAGCCGCGGCAGGTGGTTTGAGACAAGTGGCTGCCCTACCTCCTACCCTCCTCGAACCTTCACGCAGCGACCCCCATCATGCCCTCCTATGCGCAGACAGCAGACAGACTCAATGCTCTGGTCAACACCCCTTCTGCTGACCTCTTTCTCCCCATCCGGCTGTTTCCCCTTTTCTTCACCCCACCCCCACAGCAGATGGAACCGAACAGGAGCTGAGATTCGTGCCCCTGGGCCACCTTGGGGATGTACAGCTCCCACTGGCTCTCCCGGACCTGCAGAGGTGGAGCCAGCCCACAGGGAGGGGGCTGCAGTCACCATGAACTGGGTGGGCTGAGGTCCAACTGTCCCACTGCCTCTGCTACCCTACTGTGCCCAGGATGGGGAATTCCAGCCTCATATGAGATTTGTGCTGTCTGAGTAGCCATAATTCTTTATAATGTCCAGGCTGCCATTGACCTGTAGGGGTTTCTCGACATACCTCGAGGTCTAGGGACCACTCCACCTCAAGTCAGCAGAGCTTCCCCCAACTGTCCCGAGAGGTCTAATGATCATCCTCCACCCAAGCCAGCAGGGCCAGCCCGATTTCTAGTGGAGACGGGGAGGAGATGGCTGTGCTCCATCGCTCTGGCAGCCATCAGGTTAGCCAAATTACTCCCACATAGACTCTCATCCCCTACACCCATATCCTTGCACATACATCCCACACGCGCACACTCGCACACTCTTGCACCCGCTCCCCCATCTTCACACCTCTCACATCCCTGCACCCTTGCACACCCACGCACACATTCTGGCCCCCTCGTCCCCATTCCAAAAGGAGAAACGTGGAAATGGCTCACAGGCAGCTCACAGGCAGTTGCTGCAGGACGCAGTCGCGGGAGGACGGGGATGCGGTGTGGATGCGGAGGATGCAGTTCCAGACGCTTCACCACCAGGCGGGGCGGGCAAGGGGCTGGAGCCTGAGAACGAGGCTGTGGTTGCCATGGAGATGCAGGCTGGAGGAGGGACCACTGTGACTCAGGTGGCCTCACACCCCCTCCCACAGCAGGACTCTGCACTGTCTTTAATCACAATCACACACCTGACACACACACTTCACACACCTCTGACACGCATTTCACATATCTGATACACACTTCACCTCTCTCCATCTCACATCCTGCTAAGACACACCTCACACACACTTTGCACCCCTGACACAAAGCATGTGGAGTCATACACCACACCAGATCTCACACTTCATCACTTTGCTGCAGGGTGCAGACACCAAACCAGAGGAGCCCTGGCTGCTCCTCTAGCTGAGATTCCTGGATTTAAGGAGGATCCAGAACCTTCCCCTGACCATCTCACAGTAGAGCCTGGGGTCAGGACAGCTGAGGTTGGCCTCTTGCCTGGAGGGTACTCCTCTAGGTGCCAGTGTCTGAACTCCTGGGCTGGAAGCTTTCCTAGGACTGGCCTTGTCTATTTTGGTCACTGTTGTCTGTGTATAATATACTGTACATAATGCCAGTATGCAGAAGGCACTGGACAGATGTTTGGTTGAGTGTATGCCATGCGTCACCCAGGACATCTCTAGTGGACATGCTTCTCCATGAATGGTGGTGAACAGTGAGTGCACTCTGTACCCAGAGCTCAGTCTTGCTGTTAACTGGAATATTGTTGCAGTCATGCATCGTGATTTGTTCATGGACAGATGTCTGGGTTGTTCTCCTTTGTGTCTGTTGCTTGAAATGTAACAACATCCCTGACCAAGTCTTTGTTAGTTATTACTCTTGGGTAGATGCTGGGAACTGTTGTGAGCTGCCAATGTGGGTGCTGGGAACTGAGCTCTGGCTCTCTCTGAGAGTGCCAAGTGCCATCTCTCCAGGCCCAACACTATTTTACACTCTTGTCAGCGGTGTAGAGGAGCCCTATTTGTCCATAGCCACCATTTATTATTGTCTTATAATAGACACTGACACCAGCCTGCCAGCTGGCCAGAACAAACTACCGCAGATGGTTAGTCTTATTATTCTGGAGGCCAAAGCTCTGAGATCAAGGTGCTGGTGCGGGTCCTGCTGATACCCTGTTCCTTGACTTGTGTAGACAGTGTCTCTGTCACTGTCCCAATTTCTTCTAAATAGGACACCAACCATACTGGATTAGGGCCTACCCCACTTACCCCATTTTAAATTAACTACTTATCCACTTCCTCCTTCTCCTCCTCTTCTTCATCTTCCTGTTCCTCTTCCCCTTCTCCTCATCCTTCTTCTTGAGACAGCATCTCATGTAGCCTTGTTGGCCTTGAATTCTCTGTGTATCCTAGAATAATGATGAATTCCTGGTCTTCTTGACTCCACTTCTTGAGTGCTGGGATTACAGCTATGCACCACCATACCCATTTATGTGGTCCTCATAAATGACTGGGACTCAGGTCTCTGTGCATGTTTGGCAAGCATTCTACCAACTGAGCTACATCCTTGCACTAGTCAGTGTTCTCGAAAGGAACAGAGCTGATAGAAGGAATATACACGTATGTATGAGATTTATAAGATTGGCTGGGAGTATGTGATCCTGGTAGTCCAACAATGTTGTCTCACATCGGAGGCTGAGAATCCAGTGATTTTTCAATCCGTGCGGCTGGATGTCTCAGCAGTCCCAAGTTGGTTCTGGAAGCCTGGAGGACTCCTGAAGAGCTGCTGATATCCAGTCTGTGTTGGAATCCAGAAGTTGCTTCTGACGCCAAAGCAACAGGATAGACGAACTTGTCAGTGAGTTAGGGCAAACAAGCAAAAGGTGAAGTTTCTTTCTTCCATGTCCTTTTACTTGGACTGCTACCAAGATTTAGGGCTTTTCTTCTTGTACTCAGCAGCTTGGGTTTTAATTGATCCCAGATGCAGTCAAATTGATGACCAAGATTATTCATCAAAATCCTCAACTCTTGTGCTGGCTAAATTTATGACACCTTGACACAAACTTCTGAGAGGAGGAAACCTTGATTAAGGAAATGCTTCCACAAGATCGGGCTGTGGCCGGCCTGTAGAGCATTTTCTTAATTAGTGATTAATGGGGAGGGGCCAGCTCATTGTGGGTGGGGTCACCCTTGAGCTGGTGGTCCTGGGTTCTATAAGAAAATGGACTGATAATGCCATGTGGAGCAAGCCAGTAAGCAGCACCCCTCCAAGGCCTCTGCCTCAGCTCTGGTCTTCAGGTTCCTGCCCTGTTTGAGTGCCTGTCCTGACTTCCTTCAGTGATGAACTACAATGTGGAAGCTTATATAAGCCCATTAAACCCTTTCCTCTCCATCTTGCTTTTTGGTCATGGTGTTTCATCACAGCGGAAGAAACCCTAACTTAAGATAGCCCTGAACAGCCTTTTAAAAAGATCCTGTCTGCAAATACAGTCGCATTCTAAATGTTTAGGACTTCAGTGTAGGACTTTAGGGGAGACACAGTCCAGGCAGGAGCAATATCCTCCCAGGCATGCGTGGTGCACTTTGCCGTTTGCATCCATATTACTCTAACGACAGAAGCTCAGCACCTTCTCATGGGGCCGTTAGTCATCTGCATGTCTTCTTTAGTGAGAGATCAACTGAGATGTTCTAAATATTTTTCGGTGGGGCTGTTTGAGTTTTTAAGAGTTTTTTTTATTTTTATTTTTTTTTTGAGATAAAACAGTTTTACTGGCCATTGTCAGGCTATGCAAAAATCTAGAAATGATAAATTTTGCACAAAAACCCTCCAAATAAATAGTAAGCGGGAATGTAACAGCAATATGTAAATTTGCTGCTTTTCCCATGATATGAGGTTAGTAACATTTCTAAGGGTCTATCTGGTGTGAGGGTTGGTTTGGCTCACTGGCAAAAACCTTTGGAACCTTCAGCATGCCCGGGAGCTCTATAGACTCTGGCCAAATCCTTTGAGATTGCCAAGGAAGGTGTCCTTATGGCACTTGACTGTGCTGAGCCCCATCCACTCAGCTGTGAAAGCACTGTCCAGCTCCTAGTCCCAAAGGAAGTCTGCTAAGTGATCATAGGAGGTCCAGTCCAGATCCCTGTTGAGTGTGTATCTTAGTATCCTTCCACTCAGTCACCAGTGGCCTAAAAACTAACTTCTCTCATAGAGAAAATATCACAGCCTTTGTCCAACCTTGTCTTCTCAAAAAAAAAAAAAAAAAAAAAAAAAAAAAAAAGAGTTAAACAGGCTCCCTGGTAGGCAGACAGGGAGAGAGGCCATACCTCGCAGCTTCTTCCCCCTTCTGACCTGAGACAAAAGCCTTCCAATTTAAAACTTGTAGGCTTTTTCTCCCTTCAGCAGGCCCTGCCAATGGTCTGGTTCAACAAGTTCAAGGCCCCAGGACATGTTTACATAACAGTTACAGACCGATCAACCACCCTATCTTTCTTCAAACTTAGCAACCAACCATAACTTAGGGGAGGAAGACTCTCCAGAGACTTTAAAAATCCCAGTTCTAGAGAAGAGACTGCATTTTTGGCTTCCCAAGTCCTCCCTCTGCTTTGCTGAGGGTCTTGTTTTCTGTGTGTCTGCTGTATACGTGTGTGTCTCCTCACCCCCAATAACCATCTTTCTACAGCTGATGGTTCTCTCTGCTGCCGCCTGTGATGTTTGAGTTTCTCAGCTGCTACCTGCTACCTGCTGTGCTCAAGATTTTTTCCTGCCTCTCATTTCTTTTTGGGGGGGCAGGGAGTTCACAACAGGGTTTTTCTGTGTGTAGCCCTGGCTGTCCTGGACCTCGCTCTGTAGACCAGGCTGGCCTCCAACTCACAGAGATCCCCCTGCTTCTGTCTCCCGAGTGATGAGATTAAAGGCATGCACCACCACACCCAGCTGCCTTTCAATTCTTTAACTGGCAGAGAAGACCCCTAGACCTCTCAACAGTGGCAGTTCAGTACAAAGGTCTTCCTGCTCATTCTTTCCTGCTACAGCCATGAAATGAGGAGTCGGCCTTTGACCAGGCTCGTGTGCTTCAACCTCTGTCCTGGTCATCGGATGTTGATGGAATATTAATGTTGTTAATTATTAATTATTAGAAGTAGTTATTAATGTTGAAAGCAAAGGTGTCTCTCTCCCCAAGCAACTGCACTGATTTGTTTTCTGTCTTGTTCATTTCCAGCTCTCTGCGTCTGGCATCTTGGCAGGGAACTCAAGCTTCTGGATTTTCTTTTTCTCATTTCAGGAGTCAGGAGTTCATCAAAAGCCTTGTCTCTCTCTTCCATTTTTGGATAGGTATGCTTTGCTTGCACGACAATTTTCACCCCTCCCAAAGTTACATTATTAAGAGATTAAGGATAAAGATACCTTGGGGTATAATCTTATCTATGTAGACCAGGCTAGCCTTGAACTTGTTATTCTCTTGGCCTCGCCTCCTGAGTGTTGGGATTACAAATATTCTCCACAATGCCCAGTTCTTTCCTTTCTTTTTCTATCTATCTATCTATCTATCTATCTATCTATCTATCTATCTATCTATTTTTATGTAGTTGGAATTTTCTTTGGACTGCCAACCAGCTCCCAGATAAAGACACAGAGACATATTACTAATTTTGAATGCCTGGCCTTAACTTAGGCTTGTCTCAATGGCTCTTTTAACTTAATTTAACTTGCTTTTATTCATCTACATTTTGCCTCGGAGCATTTTTCTTATTATTCCTAGCCACTTCTGGAGTCACATGACTGAATGTGCTGTCACCAGTCAGGCAAAATGCTTAGTTATTCCAGGGCCTCATGTTTTACATAATCCGTGTGCAGTGTGGTCACATAATCTGCACACAGCGTGATCACATAATCTATGTGCATGTGTGGTTTAGCTATGTAAGCCCATATATACATGTGCCAGGTGACCTATAAAAGCAGGCTCTATCCACTCCCTGCTCTCTCTCCTTCTTGCTAGAAGTAGCGCACCCCCCCTCCCTGCACCTTTCTTTTCTGTAGGCCTATCCACCTCCATCCTTTCCCTTTCTTAATAAAAACTCTTATAGTGGGTTCTGTTATACCTTGTTTTCTCATGC